ATGACGTCATGTTGTCCTGATTATTTATGATACTTGTGATCATGTGTCTTTGGTTGAACAAGTAGTCACTTATTTCAGTCTTTATAGACTGGCTTTAGCAGATAAAGCCCTTTGCCTGTCAGCTATTCAGAGATACTTGGCAGGCCATCTCACTTGGTCTTTGGCAGGCTTGCTGCTGGCATCCTCAGAAAGCCTGGGCCAATGAGGACCAACTTGGCATCAGGGTTCACTGCCTCTGGTTGACCTATTGACTTGGTATACCCAGGTAGGCAGTCACTTCATGAGAGCAGGTCTGAAGCCTGTAATCACAGAAGCCACACTAAAGCCTGGTCCCATGGAGACCAATTTGGCTGTAGGGAAGGTCTTGAACCCATGTCTTCGTGGGTTAGCCAGACACTAGGGTAGAGATGGTTTCTAGGTCTCTAGGACAGGTCTGGAGTTTGAGTATGTGCATACTGGGCTGGTACCTGGAACTATAAGGGCTGGCATGCAGCCAGGGTTAGTGAGGGGGCTGGCCTGAAGCCTGGGACCATAAATGTCAACTTGCCTATGGGGTAGACCTGGAGACTGGATCCGTGGGGCTAAGGCTAGAGCCTGAGTCAGTGGGGGCTGGCCTGGTGCTAGGTCTACTGTAATGAGACTTGATCCTGGGTCTGCTGGATTATGGGGCCATATTAGTACTGCATCAACAGAGACTGGCCTGGAACTGGGAAAATCCAGAGCTTGGGTCTGTGGGGGCTGGCCTAGTGATAGAGGCCACAGAGGCCAGTCTAGCAAGAGGACTTTGTGACTGGATGAACATAAAGTCTTGAGGAGGGGTTGGGGTTTGACAGGACTAAATTCTGGGACTGTGAGTGCCAGTCTGGAGCTGGGGTCTGCAAGTGCTGGGCTGGAGTTGTGGCTATGGGAGTCATCCTGGAGCTGTGGTAGGTCTGAAGGATGGGTTCATGTGGGCAGGCTTGATGTCTAAGAATTCAGGGGCCACCTTGGGGTCTGTGGCTGCAAGTGCTAGCTTGTCCTTGAGGTGGGCTTAGAGTCTTTGTCAGTAAGTGCTGGCTGATGGTCTGGAGCTATGGGGGAAAACATGAATCTGGGTTTGTCTGGAGCCTGTGTCTTCCGGGCAAGTCTGGAGGCTGCATTCATGGTGGCTGATCAGGAAGTTGGGGCCACAGAGCCTGGCCTGGCCTCAAGGCATGCTGGAATCCAAGTCCAAGGGTACCTGCCTGGAGTCAGAGGCCACTGGGTCTAATTGGGGCAAACCTAGTGTTGGAGTCCATGGAAAAATCAAGTGCTTACTTCACTCTCTTTCCCCAAGTTGAGAGAATGTCTCTACACGTTGTGCTTCCTGAGATTCAGGGAGGGGTGATGTGAATCATGGAAAAGTGTTCTTTCTACCCTCTTCAATGCATCTTTTCTTATTTTATGCAACATGCAGATGCTTTAATCACTCACTTGGATTTATTAGCTCTTCTGAAGGTATTTCCATTTTAATGGATAGTAGTTCAAACGAATGTTTCTGAGAAGGTTTGAGAGCTGGAAAGTGCTATCTACCATCCTGCTGATGTCATTCTCTGAGAAGTTCTATTATAAACACCACCAGAGCCTCCTAAGCTTGTCATGTCACACTATCAGGTTTGGGCTATGGAAATGGGAGGGCAGTAGGTACATGTGGAAGAAATGTCCTCATCTCCCCACAACAAAAATCCTACATGAGCAAGACCCACACCCTCATCATAACACACTGGTAAGGATGTACATTTCATCATTTTCCCTAGAGGCCTGTGTAAAATAGGGAAGAACCAAGACCCACAAAGTTTTCTCCCCCCTGAACACTTTGTCCTTCTCAGGACAAAGTGACATTGGCACATACAAGACAGCAAGTGCAGACTAAAAATTTTATTATTGCTCTCTAAAGCCTTAGGCCATATGACAAAATGAAGAGACTGAAATGAAAGTGAGAAGGAAGAAACAGAAGGAAGATAAGAATGACGTGGTCATATCTGGGGGGATTTAAGTGAATATTCTCTTCCAGGATGTCTTCACACTGGGTTCATGCTCATGATGAGTTCCACACCAAAGGCAGGCTGCTGACTTTGCTCCTGCCCTAGGTAGTGAACTCACAGACATAGGGTAACCTCACATTGCAGTTATAATCTTTCCACTTCAGAAATACTGGAGAGACAGAAGACATAAATGGAATGGGACTGAGTAAGCTGGGGAAACCAATGAAGAGGCATCCCAGGTTTAAGCCTAGAAGTTAAAGCCTCTCCCTCACCTTCATCAGTGTCCCAATCCAGGAGAAACATTCAAAGAAAGCAGAGAAGAGAGGAGATGAGAGAAGACACACTAGCATTGTATTTTCTAGCTCAGGAAGATTTCCTGAAAGCTGGACCCAGGAATGGGGGATGAGATGGTAAACACTGGGAAGAGGCCATTGCTCTGTTTCTTACCCATGCTTCTTGACAGGCTCGTACAGTGGCCGGGGTTTGAGACAGTGGAGGGATTTCTCTCCCATGCAAGGTAATTCATCACATCACTGCTACTCCACTCCCATCCATCTCCATTGGGCTCAGTGCCCTATAGAGTAGAGGAGGCAGCCAGGTGAAGGGAATGGCCACTGCAACTCTTCTTTCTCGGCCCCTCAGCTGCAACACCTGATTTGTGCCCCAGGATGAGGGAATTTGGTCTGCTATTCCAGATGTTGCTGGTGAGCTCTTCACTAGCAACCTCTTTCTTAAATCCTCATTGCTATTGGAAATTCCCAGCCAATAAACACAAGACCTTTGGAACCACTCAAAGTAATATGTTATTTGCAGAACAATAATTGATGTAGCATTTGTGATTAGCCTGTGAACCTCAAAGGTAATGACAATTCTGTATGGGGGCAAAAATGGATCCTATCTTCATTAAGGGTTCCTTGAGAATAGTAGGCAAAGACCCCATGAAGCTCAGATAATGGATTAGCCCAGCCTCATATGAGAATTAGGTCATACGCCTGAGGAGGCAGACTGATTTCATCCAAAAGATAGAGACCTCCACAGATCTCAGATCTTCAGCTGTCTCACGAACTTTCTTTTTCCCCTGATGTTTCACCATGTTGACCAGGATGGTCTCGATCTCTTGACCTCATGACCCACCCGCCTCAGCCTCCCAAAGTGCTGGGATTATAGGCGTGAGCCCGGCCAGAATTTTTTTTTTTAAGTAGATTTCCTGAAGTTTCTTGTAAATTCTGGATATTAGCCTTTGTCAGATGGGTAGATTGCAAAAATGTTCTCCCATTCTGTGGGTTGCCTGTTCACTCTAATGAGAGTTTCTTTTGCTGTGCAGAAGAAGCTCTTTAGTTTAAGTAGATCCCATTTGTCAGTTTTGGCTGTTGTTGCAATTGCTTTTGGTGTTGTAGTCATGAAGTCTTTACCCATGCTTATGTCCTGAACAGTACTGCCTAGGTTTCCTTCTAGGGTTTATATGGTTTTAAATCTTATGTTTAAGTCTTTAATCCATCTTCAGTAAATTTTTGTATAATGTGAAAGGAAGGGGTCCAGTTTCAGTTTTCTGCATATGACTAGTCAGTGTTCCCAACACCATTTATTATAAAGAGAAAATCCTTTCCTTATTACTTCCTGTTGCCAGGAAACTCGTCATTCAAATCTGAGCGAGTGGGGCGAGTGCAAAGATGGGCGCGAGTGACAGACCGGCGCAGGAAGGGCAACCTTATGGGATCCCCGTGACAAGGTATGCGCGCCAGACACCCGCTGACAATACGGAGTCGGGGGCAAAATATGCACACGAGGCACCTGCGAGCAATGGCGGCGGGGGAGGGAGCGGGGTAGAAGGGGCACCTGATAGGTACTGGAAGGAGAGGCGCGCGCACAAAGGACGCCAGACTTTAACGGTTTGGCCGGCAAGGTTCGCGCACAAGGCACCTGATGGCAATGGAAGGGGCGGCGCTCGCGCGCGCGGTGTACTGTAGGGAGAGGCGCGCGCACTAAGGACCTGGGACCTTAAGGGATCGGCGCGGCAAGGTACGCGCACAAGGCAGCTACTGACAACCGTGGGATTGGGGGCGGAGTAGGGAGCGGCGCGCGCTAGGTACTGGAGGGAGAGGCGAGCACAAAGGGCTCGGAATCTTAATGGATTGGCTTGGCAAGGCACGCGCACAAGGCACCTGCTGGCAAGGACGGGAAAGGGGGGTCCAGGGCCGGGCGCGCAAAATAGGTACTGGAGACAGAGGTGCGCTCACAAAGGACCCGGGACGTTAAGGGATTGGTGCGGCAAGGTTTGTGCAAAAGGCACCTGCTGGCAATGGGAGTCGGGGGAGAGCCGAGGTGGGAGGAGAGGGGCGCACAGAGACCAGATATCTCAGACTACAAGTGTGGGACACCACATCCGGCCAATGTTTTGTATTGTTGGCCTTGGCCCCAAGTGTGCCCAGGTGCTGATGGAGCGCCTGGGGTGTGTGAGCCCTGCCTCCAGGGCCTGGCTGGGGCTGCGCCAGGAGCTGTCCATGGTTCTGAAACGATGCCGGCAAAGGCGCCGGCTGTGAATGAGCGAGTGAGCGCTGTTCGTAGTGCTGCAGAGGTCTTGGGCCCCGGCAGTGGCGGCAGCGGTGCCTAGGAGGCCGGCAGCCGGAAGACCACCAGGAATGCTCCTTGGAGGAAGTAACCCTTGAGGTGGGGAGGGTTTTCCAGGAAGGGAGGCGATAGCATGAGCAAAAGCTTAGAGATACTAATAATCGTAGACTGATAATCATGGCCTGGTGCGCGCGCCTTTTCACGCCAATCCATTAAGATTCCGAGCCCTTTGTGCTCGCCTCTCCCTCCAGTACCTAGCGCGCGCGCCGCTCCCTACCCCGCCCCCCTATCCCACGGTTGTCAATAGCTGCCTTGTGCGCGAACCTTGCCGCGCCGATCCGTTAAGGTCCCAGGTCCTTAGTGCGCGCGCCTCTCCCTACAGTACACCGCGCGCGCGCGCACCGCCCCTTCCATTGCCATCAGGTGCCTTGTGCGCGAACTTGCCGGCCAAACCCTTAACGTCTGGCGTCCTTTGTGCGCGCGCCTCTCCTTCCAGTACCTATCAGGCGCCCCTTCTACCCGGCTCCATCCTATTGCTCGCAGGACGCTCAGAGTCCAGCTGTCAAGAGTTCAAGGATCCGAAAATAGCCACTGCGCCCAGCAGCGGTTACCTGGGCACACTGTGCCCTTTATCTCTGTCCCGGTCCCTTCCCGGGGCCAAGGACCCAGCAGTAGGACTCAGTTTCCTTGAGCCTGCTGCCCACATCCCTCACTTCATTGGCTTGCGGGATCTCTCCGTTGCTCCTGCCCCTGGACGGAGTGGCAAGCCTTCCTACCCAGACACTTGTAATCAGCCTGGTGTCGAAACAACTCCAAGGATTTATTCTTCAAGCCCTGTCTTCTGTATGGCGATCCTGCCTTCAATTTGAGGCCCAGGTACCACAGCATGCCAGTGCCCTAAGGACTCTCAGAGAGGCCCTGGAGAAGGTAATCGCCTTTTTGTGGCCCAGAACACCCAGCTCTACCCTACACTCCCATCCAGAGATCATGTAGAGGGCCCTCATGGGGAGTGGAGCAGGGATGTCTAAGCAGGAAAAAAACCCCAGAGTCCAAGAAAAGCCCGATGATCAGAAAGGGGGCCCTGAGGGCACCAGGGATGCAGGGTCTGCCTTTAGACCCCTGCGGGACAGTGGAGGCCTCTCTCCCTTTGTACCCAGGCCCGGGCCCCTGCAGAGAGACCTCCATACCCAGAGGTCAAAAATGCCATCTGAAAAGAAATCCCAGCCCTCCGGGATGAGCTACTGCTGCAACTCCATCTCCAGCTCCTCCAGCTCCGCAGGAGGCTTCCCGTGGGTAAAGAGGGGGAAGGGGCCAGCCTCATCCGACTGCCAGCTGCCCCTCACTTCTTCAAAGGCAGTGACTGAGGTCAGCCCTCAGGCTGTCTCTCAGGGTCAGGCTCAGTGTGAAAAGGCAGCAGATTCAGCACCTGGGGAGAAACTGGCCCCCAGGAGTGGCTCCCCGACATCTCAGGCCTCTAGGCCTCATAGACGAAAGTACCCTCTGCTGCGATGCAGGCGAGGGAAGCCTCTGAGGCTGCCATCTCCCTTACAGCTGGGGTTCCAGGTAACTGCTGAAGACCTGGACCTGGAGATAAAGGCCGAAATCATGTGCCTTAATTGTGCACTGCAGGGTGAGGAAAAGTCCCTCTGGGAGTGCAGAGCCTCACTGCTGTCCCATGCTTTGGGACTGGCAACAGGGACGTCTTCTCTGCCTGCTGTCTCTAAAGCATCCAACACAGAGGCACAGCAGGAGAGACACAAGTCCCAAGATGGCCTGGACCCCGTGGCCCTCCAAGCATCTGCTGCAGGGTCCCCCTCTAGACCTCCTGTGTCTGGGAGGAACTGCAGGTCAGCAGGTCCCCTGTTATCCTCCTCAGACACCCTTCCTGCCACCTCTGCACATTCCCAGGACTCAGCTCAGGCCTCATTGTCTGCTCCAGCACAGCCAGACCAGGGCACCACAACACACTTATCTGCAGGGGCTTCCTTATCCACCACTTCCACCTCCAGCCCCCGCACCAAAAGAAAGTCGACCTGGGCTTCAGACCTGGCTAGGAGCCTTCCTGACCCCTCTTCTGCGTCTCGCACCACCACCCTGGCCAGACAGAGGGTCAGTGATTTCACCATACTACAGAAACTTGATGCTATTGCTGCAGCCATTACCCAGCCTGTGGTCCCTCATGGACAGCAGCAAGGAATCTGCACCTTGAAGCGGTTTCATCCATATTTCTGTCCAGCTGCTTCAGGTGCAGCCCAGACCTCAACTTCTGCTCCAACACAGCCAGCGCAGGGAACCACAGCACCCTCAGCTGCAGGGGTTTCCTTACCCACCACTTCTACCTGGAGCCTGGCTGGGACACTTTCTAAGCCATCTTCTGCCTCTCACACCACCACCCTGGCCAGACAGAGGGTCAGTGATTTCACTGTACTACAGAAACTTGACGCTATCACTACAGCCATCACCCAGCCCAAACCTGTTGTCCTTCACGGACAGCAGCAGGGAACCCGCTCCTTGAAGCAGCCTCATCCATCTTCCCATCCAGCTGCTTCAGCTGCAGCCCAGGCCTCATCTTCTGTTCCAACACAGCCAGCCCAGGGCACCACAGCGCCCTCAGCTGCAGGGGTTTCCTTACCCACCACTTCCACCTGGAGCCTGGCTGGGACACTTTCTAACCCATCTTCTGCCTCTCTCATCACCACCCACGCCAGACTGAAGATCAGTGGTCCCACCTCATTACCAAAAGTTGCCGTGACCACTGCAGCCACCACCCAGCCCAAACCTGTTGTCCTTCACGGACAGCAGCATGGAACCAGCTCCTTGAAGCAGCCTCATCCATCTTCCCATCCAGCTGCTTCAGCTGCAGCCCAGGCCTCATCTTCTGCTCCAACACAGCCAGCCCAGGGCACCACGGCATCCTCAGCTGCAGGGGTTTCCTTACCCACCATTTCCACCTGGAGCCTGGCTGGGACACTTTCTAACCCATCATCTGCCTCTCTAATCACCACCCAGGCCAGACTGATGATCAGTTGTCCCACCTCATTACCAAAAGTTGCCGTGACCACTGCAGCCACCACCCAGCACAAATCTGCTGTCCTTCACGGACAGCAGCAGGGAACCCGCTCCTTGAAGCAGCCTCATCCATTTTCCCATCCAGTTGCTTCAGCTGCAGCCCTGGCCTCATCTTCTGCTCCAACACAGCCAGCCCAGGGCACCACGGCATCCTCAGCTGCAGGGGTTTCCTTACCCACCAGTTCCACCTGGAGCCTGGTTGGGACACTTTCTAACCCATCTTCTGACTCTCTCATCACCGCCATGGCCAGACTAACGATCGGTGGTCCCACATCACTACCAAAAGTTGCCGTGACCGCTGCAGCCACCACCCAGCCAAAACCTGTGGTCCTTCATGGACAGCAGCAGGGAACCCGCTCCTTGAAGCAGCCTCATCCATTTTCCCATCCAGTTGCTTCAGCTACAGCCCTGGCCTCATCTTCTGCTCCAACACAGCCAGCCCAGGGCACCATGGCACCCTCAGTTGCAGGGGTTTCCTTACCCACCACTTCCACCTGGAGCCTGGCTGGGATACTTTCTAACCCATCTTCTGACTCTCTCATCACCGCCATGGCCAGACTAACGATCAGTGGTCCCACCTCACTACCTAAAGTTGCCATGACCACTGCAGCCACCACCCAGCCCAAACCTGTGATACTTCGTGGACAGCAGCAGGGAACCCGCTCCTTGAAGCAGCCTCATCCATTTTCCCATCCAGTTGCTTCAGCTACAGCCCTGGCCTCATCTTCTGCTCCAACACAGCCAGCCCAGGGCACCATGGCACCCTCAGTTGCAGGGGTTTCCTTACCCACCACTTCCACCTGGAGCCTGGCTGGGATACTTTCTAACCCATCTTCTGACTCTCTCATCACCGCCATGGCCAGACTAACGATCAGTGGTCCCACCTCACTACCTAAAGTTGCCATGACCACTGCAGCCACCACCCAGCCCAAACCTGTGATACTTCGTGGACAGCAGCAGGGAACCCGCAGTTTGAAGCAGCCTCATCCATCTTCCCATCCAGCTGCTTCAGTTGCAGCCCTGGCCTCATCTTCTGCTCCAACACAGCCAGCCCAGGGCACCACAGTGCCCTCAGCTGCAGGGGTTTCCTTACCCACCACTTCCACCTGGAGCCTGGCTGGGACACTTTCTAACCCATCTTCTGACTCTCTCATAACCGCCATGGCCAGACTAACAATCACTGGTCCCACCTCACTACCTAAAGTTGCCGTGACCGCTGCAGCCACCACCCAGCCCAAACCTGTGGTCCTTCATGGACAACAGCAGGTTACCTGCAGCTTGAAGCAGCCTCATCCATCTTCCCATCCAGCTGCTTCAGCTGCAGCCCTGGCCTCATCTTCTGCTCCAACACAGCCAGCCCAGGGCACTACAGTGCCCTCAGCTGCAGGGGTTTCCTTACCCACCACTTCCACCTGGAGCCTGGCTGGGACACTTTCTAACCCATCTTCTGCCTCTCTCATCACCACCCAGGCCAGACTAACAATCAGTGGTCCCAACTCACTACTGAAAGTTGCCGTGACCACTGCAGCCACCACCCAGCCAAAACCTGTGGTCCTTCATGGACAGCAGCAGGGAACCCGCTCCTTGAAGCAGCCTCATCCATCTTCCCATCCAGCTGCTTCAGCTGCAGCCCTGGCCTCATATTCTGCTCCAACACAGCCAGCCCAGGGCACCACAGTGCCCTCAGCTGCAGGGGTTTCCTTACCCACCACTTCCACCTCGAGCCTGGCTGGAACCCTTTCTAACCCATCTTCTGCCTCTCTCATCACCACCCAGTCCAGACTAACAATCAGTGGTCCCACCTCACTACTGAAAGTTGCCGTGACCACTGCAGCCACCACCCAGCCAAAACCTGTGGTCCTTCATGGACAGCAGCAGGGAACCCGCTCCTTGAAGCAGCCTCATCCATCTTCCCATCCAGCTGCTTCAGCGGCAGCCCTGGCCTCATCTTCTGCTCCAACACAGCCAGCCCAGGGCACCACAGTGCCCTCAGCTGCAGGGGCTTCCTTACCCACCACTTCCACCTCGAGCCTGGCTGGAACCCTTTCTAACCCATCTTCTGCCTCTCTCATCACCACCCAGGCCAGACTAACAATCAGTGGTCCCACCTCACTACTGAAAGTTGCCATGACCGCTGCAGCCACCAAGCAGCCCAAACCTCTGGTCCTTCATGGACAGCAGCAGGGAACCCGTGGCTTGAAGTGGGCTTGTCCGTATTCAGATCCAGCTGCTTTAGCCTTGAGCCCCCCCACCAAAAGAAAGTTGACCTGGGCTGCAGGCCTGGCTGGGACCCATTCTAAGCCATCTTTTGACTCTCTCATTACCGCCGTGGCCAGACTGACGATCAGTGGTCCCACCTCACTACCAAAAGTTGCCGTGACTGCTGCAGCCACCAAGCAGCCCAAACCTCTGGTCCTTCATGGACAGCAGCAGGGAACCCGCGGCTTGAAGCGGGCTCGTCCATATTCAGATCCAGCCGCTTTAGCCTTGAGCCCCCCCACAAAAAGAAAGTTGACCTGGGCTGCAGGCCTGGCTGGGACCCTTTCTAACACATCTTCTGCCTCTCTCATCAACGCCCTGGCCAGACCGAGGGTCAGTGGTCGCACCTCACTATGGAAACTTGCCGTTATGGCTGCAGCCATCACTCAGCACAAACCTGCGGTCCTTCATGGACAGCAGCAGGGAACTCGCGGCTTGAAGCGAGCTCATTCGTATTCAGATCCAGCTGCTTTAGCCTTGAGCCCCCCCACCAAAAGAAAGTTGGTGCGAGGCTATCCCAGGCAAATTCTAGGCCAGGCTATCCCAGGCAAGGCAAGGCAAGGCTATTCCAGGCAAGGGTATTCCAGGCAAGGCAATTCTAGGCAATGCCAGGCAAGGCAAGGCAAGGCAAGGCAAGAGACAGCAATGCAATCCCAGGCAAGGCAATGCAATCCCAGGAAAGGCAATTTCAGGCAAGGCAAGGCAAGACAAGGCAGGGAAAGGAAATTCAAGGCAAGGCAATTGTAGGTAAAACAAGGCAAGGTAATTCCAGGGAAGGTAACTCCAGGCAAGGCAAGGAAAGGCAATTCCAGGCAAGGCAAGGCAAGGCAATTCCAGGCAAGACAAGGCAAGGCTATTCCAGGCAAAGCAATTCCAGGTAATGCAAGTCAAAAAAAGGCAAAAAATTCCAGGCAAGGCAAGGCAAATCCAATCCAGGCAACTCAAGTCCAATCCAGGCAACTCAATTTCAGGCAAGGCAAGGCAATTCCAGGGAAGGCAATTTAAGGCAAGGCAAGGCAGCACAAGGCAAGACAATTCCAGGTGAGGAAAGTCAAGGCAAGGCAATTTGAAATGAGGCAATTTCAGTCATGGCAAGGCAAGACAAGGAAAGTCAAGGCATGTCAATTCCAGGCAAGGAAAAGCAAGGCAATACAAGGCAATTTCAGGCAAGCCAATTCCAGGTAATGCAAGGCAAGGCAATTCCAGGCAAGTCAATTCAAGGCAAGGCAATTCTAGGCAATGCAAGGCAGACAAGGCAATGCAAGGGAAGAGAAAGCAATGCCAGACAAGGAAAGGCAAGACAAGAGACAGCAATGCAATCCCAGGCAAGGCAATGCAATCCCAGGCAAGGCAATTTCAGGCAAGGCAAGGCAAGACAAAGCAGGGAAAGGAAATTTGACGCAAGGCAATTGCAGGTAAGGCAAGGCAAGGTAATTCCAGGGAAGGTAACTCCAGGCTAGGCAAGGCAAGGCAATTCCAGGCAAGACAAGGCAAGGCTATTCCAGGCAAGGCAATTTCAGGCAATGCAAGGAAAGGAAAGGCTAAAATTTCCAGGCAAGGCAAGGCAGGGCAGAGCAGGGTAGGGTAAGGCAGAGCAGGGCAGGGAAGGGAAGGGCAAGGAAAGGTAAGGGAACGCAAGGCAAAAGTAAAAGGCAAAAAAAGGCAAAAGGCAAAAGGCAAAAAAGGCAAAAGACAAAAGGCAAAAGGCAAGGCAAAAGACAAAAGGCAAGGCAAGTCCAATCGAGGCAACTCAAATTCAGACAAAGCAAGACAATTCCAGGGAAGGCCATCCAAGGCAAGGCAAGGGAATGCAAGGCAAGGCAATTCCAGGTGAGGAAAGTCAAGGCAAGGCAATTTGAAATGAGGCCATTTCAGTCATGGCAAGGCAAAACAAGACAATTCCAGGCAAGGCTATTCCAGTAAAGTCAAGACAGGGCAATTCCAGGCAAGAAAAAGCAAGGCAATGCAAGGCAATTCCAGGCAAGCCAATTCCAGGTAAGGCAAAGCAAGGCAATTCCAGGCAAGTCAATTCGAGGCAAGGCAATTTTAGGCAATGCAAGGCAAGGCAAGAGAAGGCAATGCCAGGCAAGGCAAGGCAAGGCAAGGCAAAGCAAGGCAAGGCAATGCAATCCCAGGTGAGGCAATGCAATCCCAGGCAAAGCAATTACAGGAAAGGCAATCTCAGGCAAGGCAAGGCAAGACAAGGCAGGGAAAGAAAATTTGAGGCAAGGCAATTGAAGGTAAGGCAAGGCAAGGTAATTCAAGGGAAGGTAACTCCAAGCAAGGCAAGGTAAGGCAAGGCAATTCCAGGCAAGACAAGGCAAGGCTATTCCAGGCAAGGCAATCTCAGGCAATGGAAGGCAAGGAAAAGTAAGAAAAGGCAAGGCAAGGCAATGCAATCCCAGGCAAGGCAATCACAGGAAAGGCAATTTCCGGCAAGGCAAGGCAAGACAAGGCAGGCAAAAGAAATTTGAGGCAAGGCAATTGCAGGTAAGGCAAGGCAAGGTAATTTCAAGGAAGTTAATGCCAGGCAAGGCAAGGCAAGGCGATTCCAGGCAAGGCAATTCCAGGCAAGACAAGGCAAGGAAAGGCAAAAAAAAATCCAGGCAAGGCAAAACAAAACAGAGCAGGGCAGGGCAGGGCAGGGCAAGGCAAGGCGAGGCAAGGTAAGGAAAGGCAAGGCAAGGCAAAAGGGAAGGCAAGGCTATCCCAGGCAAGGCAAGGCAATCCAAGGCAAGGTAATCCCAGGCAAAACAATCACAGGCAAGGCAATCCCAGGCAAGGCAAGGCAAGGCAGGGCAGGTCAGAGCAGGGCAGGGCAGGGTGGCGTGGGGCAAAGTGGGGTGGAACAGGGCGGGGCAGGGCAAGGCAAGGTGGCAAGGCAAAAGGCAGCAAGGCAAAAGGCGGCAAGGCAAAAGGTGGCAAGGCAAAAGGCATCAAGGCAAAAGGCAGCGAAAGGTGCCAAGGCAAACGGCGGCAAAGGGCGGCAAGGCAAAAGAAGAAGAAGAAGGCAGGCAAGGCAAAAAAGAAGGCAGGCAAGGCAAAAGAAAGAAGATGAAGGCAGGCAAGGCAAAAGAAGAAGAAGAAGGCAGGCAAGACAAAAGAAGAAGAAGGATGGCAAGGCAAAAGAAAGAAGATGAAGGCAGGCAAGGCAAAGGAAGGAAGAAGAAGGCAGGCAAGGCAAAAGAAAGAAGAAGAAGGCAGGCAAGGCAAAAGAAAGAAGAAGAAGACAGGCAAGGCAAAAGAAAGAAGAAGAAGGCAGGCAAGGCAAAAGAAGAAGAAGAAGGCAGACAAGGCAAAAGAAGAAGAAGGCAGCCAAGGAAAAAGAAAGAAAAAGAAAGCAGGCAAGGCAAAAGAAAGAAGAAGAAGGCAGGCAAGGCAAAAGAAGAAGAAGGCAGCCAAGGAAAAAGAAAGAAAAAGAAAGCAGGCAAGGCAAAAGAAAGAAGAAGAAGACAGGCAAGGCAAAAGAAAGAAGAAGAAGGCAGGCAAGACAAAAGAAGAAGAAGGATGGCAAGGCAAAAGAAAGAAGAAGAAGGCAGGCAAGGCAAAAGAAAGAAGAAGAGGGAAGGCAAGGCAAAAGAAGAAGAAGAAAGGAAGGCAGGCAAGGCAAAAGAAAGAAGAAGAAGGTAGGCAAGGCAAAAGAAGAAGAAGAAAGGAAGGCAGGCAAGGCAAAAGAAGAAGAAGGCAGGCAAGGCAAAAGAAAGAAGAAGAAGGCAGGCAAGGCAAAAGAAAGAAGAAGAATGCAGGCAAGGCCTGAGGTTTGAGAATAATTGTATTTGGCTCCAAGTCAAATCTTCTCTACACATTGGGATGAGGGTTGGGCCCCCTTGATTTTGCCGGGTGTATCCCAGGAAGTAGATATCACAGGCAAGAGTCTCTTGTATGCAGCCCTCTACAGGTGACATCTCACACTGCTGAATCTACATTAGCATTTTGGTGACAACCCATCCCCCAAAGTTCTACTAGAAATTGCCCTCATGGATAAACTCTGTGGTGACCCTTTCCTTGTGTCAATTCTATATGAGCCCTCAGCCTCTCTGAGGCATCTTTTGAAATCTGTAATAGGTAAGCCTACAAAATTAGCACCCAGTAGACACTGCCAAAGTTTATATTCTGAACCTTCTGGAGTGGTGGTTGGAGCCACATATGAGATCCTTTAAGCCACTTATGAAATGATAAGAATTGCTGCTCAGGAATGTAGGCATCAGGGACTTGAAGTAGCTCTAGGCATTGAGCATCAATGTGACAAAGGCTTCCAGGGTCCAGCTTTCAGTGTAATTCTATCCCCTAGATATTGGCATTCTGGACCTGTGATGGGAGAAGCAGCACCCGTAATCTCCAAGGTGCCATTGGGCTCATTCTTTTATTGTCTTGATGAATTGTCTTGCTGAAGAAGCATTTGGCCTCTTCTATACATACTAATCTCTTTATCAAATGGTTACTTGGCTATATTTTCAATTTTCTCTTGTTGACTTGCCTTTTCTTTCTTAAAAACAAAGGAACTCAGATGTTTAACAATACTTACATTTTGTTTATCTTTTATAAATTATGTCTTCTTTTTTTCATCAACTATTATTTTAAGTTCCAGGGTACATGTGCAGGATATGCAGGTTTGTTATATAGGTAAACATGCGCCATTGTGATTTGTTGCACAGATCAACTCATCACCTAGGTATTAAGCCCAGCACCCATAAGCTTTAAGTTGCTTCTTTCTATTATTAGATCAGAGGATCCATGCAGCATCCTCAACAACAAGTTACTGCTTAGATGTTTCTTTAACAAATACCCTAGTTCATGATTCTAAAATTCTGCCTTCACAAACTGCTGAAACAAAAAGGCAATTCAGCCAAGTTCTTTACCACTTTATATAAAGGATGGCCCTTCCTCCATCGTGCAATACCATGCTCCTTGTTTCCGTCTAAGACCATACCAGAATTACTCCTAGTGTCTATGTTGCTAACAAGGTTATGTTTACATTTACTTAAGTAATGTCAGAGGTGATTTACGCTTGGCTGTTAGCTCTCCTTCTTCTGAGCCCTCATCAGAAGAGCCCTTAGCTCTCCTTTAATGGCAGTGTAGACTTTTATAGCCTCTTCTTTCAAACCTACCCAGCCTCTCTTCATTACCCAGTTCCAAAGCGGACACACATTTTTAGGTATTTGTTATGGTAAGAATACCACTTCTGGTACCCATTGATATCTTAGTCTTTATTGTGCTGCTAGAACAAAATACCTGAGATGGGGGAATTTGTAACTGACAGAAATTGATTTTCTCACAGCTGTAGAGACTAAATTCAATATCTTGGCGCTTGCACTTTGCAATGGCCTTCTTACTGTGGCATCTCAAGGTGAAAGACTGAGTGACAAGAAAAGGAAAGGGAAATAAAGGGGGCCATTTTATAATGGCATTAATCCCCCCCATGAGAACAGAGGCCTCATAGCACAATTAATTCTTTAAGGTAACATGACTTAGTAGTATTGCAAGAGCAATCAAATTTCAACAAAAGTTTTGGAGGAAACACATAACTTTCTTTTGTTTTCCTTTTTGATTTATCTGGATTCTGGTTAATGGTCATCTCAATTAACATATTGGTATTTTTTTAAGGTTTATTCGGCTTCTATTTCTACATTTTTTCTAATTCCATAGCAAGACGTTTATTATGGGTTCAGTTTAGATTTGTGGATTTACTACATCTTTGAGGTAGGCCATTGTTCCTCTGAAGAAACAATCTTTTCACATGAGAGGGAATAAAATCTGAGTTCCAAACTCCACTTCTATTCTTTAACTCTCAGATTTTAGGGCAGTTCATATTTGTGCTAGTCCTGAAGCTAATTTCAATGTGTGTTTTAAAAGTCCAATGTTGTTCGACAGATGATGGCTCTGACCATGGCTATATGTTTAGCTTTTCGTGTTTTAGGGTTCAGGAATCCAATACTCCTCCCAAAGACAATTCACTCCGAAGTCGAGGATCAGAATTCTTGGAGCTTTCCCTAAACCAAATTTTGCCCTCCAGTCCATAGGCTTATAATAGAAAGTTGGTAGCAGTCCCTGACAGAGCAATTCCTCCTTAGAAGTCTCACAAAAATAAGTCAAACCCCGTCAGCATCCTCAGTTGATTAGTTAACTGGCCCAGAGACTAGGACGCAGAGACAAGGTATTCACAAAACTGAGTTTGACTCTGTTTCTCTCTGAAGTGCACAATAAATGGAGGAAGTGGGATGGTGGTTAAGGAAACTGAGAGACTATAGACACTCAGAGGATGCGGTATAACTCCAGCTTTCATGTGGAGATAAGGTTGTGGATGGGAAGCTTTTACAAAATGACCGCAAAGTAAAATAGCTGCTGGAGTCTGCAGAGAAAGGAGGGGCAAAGTGGAGGGAGGAAGCGCAGACTGGGAAGTGGACTGGAATTTCAGGATTTTGTTTGATCACTGTTGGATAGTGGTTCTCTTTAGAGAGGAGTGATCCAATTTTAGTGTCTAAACTAGACAATAAAATTATCTAAATACCTGTCTCCTTATGAGAGGGAGTGGAACAATATGTGATCCCATCTACCAAAAACTTTTCATTCTTACCAGTCAGTTGTGTCAGAATTTTAGAACTTCTGAAGAATGGGCAATAGAACAGAGAAATAAAGAGCACAGACCTTGGTGTCCGGTACATTGGGTCTGAATTCTGGCTATGCCTCATGTTGTGGCTAATGTGTGACCTTGGGCAAGTTATTCCAACTTTCTGTGGATAAGCTTTTTTTCTGACTAAGGTATCTCTCTTCTATGTAGGGATTTTTTTTTTCCTTGAGACAGAGTCTCGCTCTGTCGCCAGGCTGGAGTGCAGTGGCGTGATCTTGGCTCACTGCAACCTCTGCCCCAGGTTCAAGCGATTCTCCTGTCGCCTCCCTAGCAGCTGGAACTACAGGTGTGCACCACCATACCCAGCTAATTTTTGTATTTTGAGTAGAGATTAAGTTTTCGCCATGTTGGCCAGGATGGTCTTGATCTCTTGATCTTGTGATACACCCACCTCAGCCTCCCAATATGTAGAGATATTTTTAAAAAGTTAACATATTTAACACATGTAAAAATATTTCTCAGAGCATAAAAATTGTAATATACATGTTTTTGCAAATGGAATAATATAAATATTCTAAACTATTATATGAAAGGATATATTTGAAGGTACATAGAGAATTCTAGGTTTTTGTTTTTTTTTTTTTGAGATGGAGTTTCGCTCTTGTTACCCAGGCTGGAGTGCAATGGCACGATCTCGGTTCACTGCAACCTCTGCCTCCTGGGTTCATGCAATTCTCCTGCCTCAGCCTCCTGAGTAGCTGGGATTACAGGCATGCACCACCATGCCCAGCTGATTTTTTGTATTTTTAGTAGAGACAGGGTTTCACCATGTTGACCAAGATGGTCTCGATCTCTTGACCTCGTGATCCACCTGCCTCGGCCTCCCAAAGCACTGGGATTACAGGCTTGAGCCACCGCGCCCGGCAGACCCTATTTCTCAAAAAAAAAAAAAAAAAAAAAAAAAGAGTTTAAAGCCTACGTTCATATACTCATGTGTCTTATTAAAAAGGTATCCCCAAAGGATAATTTTGTTACCTTGGAAACTTCAGGTAACAATTCTTCCCTTGACAAGTCTGTCCTTTTCATTTCCTTTCTTCCTTCCTATCTTTGGGTATAACCTAAGCCTTTCCTGATGTTATTTATGACCATAGAATCAGCTCATGTTAAGATTTTCATGGGATCCTTGTCCAGTCGATGTATATCAGTCCATCAAGTCTATGCTCAGTATTTTCTCTCTAAATTGTTCACTGCTGACCGCTTTAACAGGCACACTGTGTGTGTTCTAGTTTAAACATTATAAAGGGGAGTGAGGATGTCTTCTTACACCGGAAGATGATCTATAACTTATCAAGTGCTCACCATTGAAATTGTTATTTACTTCATGCCTCATTAGAGATTACATGAAAGATTTTGTTTAGCATCTATGGAATAGCAATAATTATATCCGCTTGAATATATCTCAGTTAGGGCTTGCCAAAAAAAAGAAGGCATTTAGCAGTGGAAAAATACTCAAGAGCTACAATAGTTATAAGCTAGATGTATCCTAGCCCTATTCTATTTTATTTGGCAGTTTATGCATGAGTTCATTTTATGATTTTCCAAAATCTATTAGTGATAAGGAAATTATTAGACTGATTTTGAATTTCCAATTAGAGTTCTTTTCCTGCTGATGTGTATTCTCATTGGGCTTCTTATCTCACCAAAACTTCTTTCCATCATATCCAAATTCTGGCAGAGTTATGTTTGAACTATACTTACTCCTTAAATTCTAAGGCTGATTGTAATTTTTTTCATCATCTCTTTAATATGTCATCTCTTTAATATGTAAGGCAAACCTTACTGACAGGTGAAGAATTATTTAAATTTAAATTTTTAAATTAGGAGTCGTCAGGGCAGCTGAGACCTGAATAAGCCAGTTTTTAAATGATTTTGAAAAAAACTATTTTCTCCTAGCAGACTCTGCCCTCCCCTGCCTGCACCCAGGGTACAGGGCTTAGTGAGTGGAGCACAGACAGGATGTCAGTGCCCCTGAGGCCCCTTTGGTAAAGGACGACTACACAAACATGCCTAGCAGCTCTAGAAACAGTGTAGAAATGAACTTTGTTCACAAAGTTACTCATCTTTATTTACTAAGTTGATCTAAGCAGTTCAAACACATTTCTAAGACAAAACCTAGAAATCAGCATTCTGACCAGAATGTCAAAATAAAATCAAAGTTAGAAATGAATGAGGGGTATGGTAGAATCATGAGTTAGCCAAATTTATGAAGATAACTGAAAGAGTAATACCAAAATTAAATTACCTGCCTCTGGGATGGAAACCAATAGGGTATAAACATTTTGCTTATCTCTCATATAAGTTAATTTCATGGGACTTCTGGTTTTGACTATTTTCTTTAAAAAAATTGTATGGATATAAAAATTGATAAAGTCTTCTCACAGTGTGGTTTGGAAGCAATTCTTAGAATTCTGAATGGGCAAATCTTTGGCTCAGCAATTTTATTCTGAAAATATATTGGAAAGAAATACACCTATTAACAAAGAGTACAAGTGTGGTAACATTATTTCCAATAGCAAAAAATTAAAAACTGCAAAAACATTCATTAATAACGGGTTTATAAAACAAATCATTGTGAGCTCATATTGTGAATGTGATAATCATATGATTCTGTTTGAACTGACAAGGAATAAGACCAAAGAAAATATATTAATGAAGCAAAAAAGGCAAGTGGCAGAATAGTAGAAATCCCATTAACATAAGAAAAACGTGTGCTGTAAATGTGCAGATGTACGTAGGTATGTGTAAACATGTAGAGAGGTATTTATGAGGACATAGTCCTAAGTGGTCAAAAAAGAGTGTGAGATTTGAAGAGTTGGAATAGAGATGGAAGGGTAGAAAATTGGGAGAGGGGACTTCTAGTTTCTGCTCTATATGTCTCTGCAATTTTTTTAGCAATAAGCATGCATTACTTTTATAATTTAAAAGTAATTTTAAAGACAAAAAAAGTGAAAAGATTACTCATGATTGCATTACCCAAACAGAACAATTTTCATTCATATATGTTGCCTCCTAAGCTTTTAATACTGGTTTAAGTATGGGGAAAACATAAAATTTCAAAATTACATAATAAGAATGTTGCTGTATGGTCATTACAACTTTGAATTTTATAGTTTTAATATAAATTAAATATCTACAGTATATGAATTACCATTTTGTTGCAAATAACTATCATCTGGTATTGATAAATATACATACGATTATTGTACCAGAATGTAATCCACCATTTTATAGGTAGATATGTTAGCTGCTTAGGACTTTATGCTCTTCTCATAAACAACGCAGAAAAAAAATAGTTTATAATGTGTTCTGTCTTTGGATTATATCTTTAAGGAAAATTCTAAGCAGCAAAGTTATCAAATTAAACAAGAATTTAAACATCGCATAACTCTTTAATATACATTGCCAATTTTCTTTTCAAAAGTAGAGTTTTAACCTTATTGCCACAAAAAGTGTATTAGCTTTACTTCATTTTAATTAGCATTGGGTATTAATTTTCTAACTACTCTGGCCAAAATAGAATAATATATTTCTTGAGTAAATTATAAATTTGAACATGTGATAACCTAACTTGTACTAACCTAACTGACTCCATGTTAGCTGCAAACCTAACAAGTTTTCTCTAGCCTCTCCCTCCCTGCCTTGGCCCCCTCGGCTGTATTACTGGGTCATGCTGCACTCAAAGCTTTGAACTGTTAAGAGTGGTTCACACTGTTCACAGTACCTGCTTGGCAAGTCTACCTGCTATTGTGAATACCCTCCTTGGCGACTGATTGTGTGGAAAGTTCCCCCTGCTACCCCCTTGATGATTATATGGAAATACCCTTAGCAACCAACAATCCTGGGAACTTCCAGTCCCCTGGTTACCAGCTTCTTTATCTAACTTGCTTGTTCTGCTTCTGTAAAATCCCACTTCAGCTAAGCTCCTTCTCCCCTTACCTAAATCAAGGTATAAAGGGAAATCAAGCCCCTTCCTTAGGACCAAGAGAATTTGGAGCATCAGTCATGTCTCAGTCACCAGCAAATAAAGGACTCTTAATTTGGAACTCAGAGAGTGCTGCTTTCCTTCTAACTCGCTCGGTTACAAAAAAACATTTCACTTGTATTGCAATTTATTAACTGCAGTTGATGGTTCATGTCATTTTTTATTTATTTGTTTATTAATTTTGCTTTTACTAATAACAATATTAGGTAACTCCTACTGAACGTTTATCAAGTGCCAGGCACTGTTCTAAGTATTTTACATATATATCACATTTAAACCTCACAAAACTCCAAAAACTATTACTATTATAACCATTTTACAGATGGAGGAACTGGGGACCCAGAAAAGCTCATATTATAGGAAGTCTACCATCAAAGCTGAGGCTTGTACTGTCACCTCAGTATACGGTACCTCAGTATACAGCCATATATGAATATATTAAATAATTAAGATGTCATCTCTTTACCTGTCATACTTACCAAAAGTGTTTTCCCAGTGTTTTGTATTTTTATTGTTGTGTTTTTATATGCAGAACATATTGAAGTTATTATAATCAACTCAGATTTTCTTATTTTTGTAATTATGTTTATTGTTTTAAGCTTATAAATGTCTCTCTCTCTGCTCCAGAGACATGAGAATTTTTTAAATCTGTTTTCTTCCCATGTGTAGTATTACAAATATATGTATTGAATATACGTATGTATTTGTATGTGTGCAAATATACACATAAACACATATATACATACTCTTTTTAACCCATGCAGACATTGTCTTGCTGTACAATAATACAACGTATTTGGGGCTGCTTTTCTGACCCTGACACTGTTGCTGGGCTGAGAATTACTCTACTGTTTAGATGAGATACTGAGCCATCAGGATTTAAATCTTCAACTTATCTTTGCTCCAAGTGATATGATTAAGCTGAGATTACTTAATCCAAGCCCCAGTAAGTCATTCCAAACCCTTGAATTATTCTGACCAATCCATAAAGCTTCTGTTGAATTCATGCCTTGGAGAATTCTTTGCCTGACTGGTTGAACACTGGATGACTGCAAGTCTTATGGTTTAGAGACAGGCACATGTCTGACCCAATGGGCACACCCATTGTATTTCTACAGAGAAGAAATATCTCTGGAGTTAAATTGGTAGGTCCCAAATGAATCAGTAGAGCAGCATATGTGGTATGCTATTACTTGTGAAAGAGAAACTGTATATCTTCTGTACCTAGAAAAAAGGATCTAGATTAAGATATGCATATAGAGATATGATATAGCTATAAGGGAGGGCAAGAACTGGCTGAGACTTTTCATTAACATTCCATAACTTTAAAAAATTTAATTTTTAATTTCAACTTTTATTTTAGATATGGGGATATATGTGCAGATATATTACGTGATACTGAGGTATGGAGAATCCTGTCACCCTGGTAGTGAGCATGGTACCTGATAGGTAGATTTTTAACCTCACCATGGCCCTCTAGTAGTCTGCAGTCTCTCACTTATAAGTGAGAACATGAAGAATTTAGTTTTCTGTTCTTGCATTTATTTTCTTATAATTATAGCCTCCAGCTCCATCTGTGTTACTGCAAAGAACATGACTTTATTCTTTCTTATGGGTGCATATCATTCCATGGTATATATATACCACATTTTCTTTATCTAATCTACAATTGATGGGCACCTGGATTGATTCCATGTCTTTACTGTTATGAACAGAATAACGATGAACATATGAGTGGATGTATGTTTTTGGTAGAATGATTTACTTTCTTCTGGGTACATACCCAGTAATGGGTTTTCTGGGTTGGAAGGTAGCTCTGTTTTAAGATCTTTGAGAAATCCCCAGACTGCTTTTCACAGTGGCTGGATTAATTTACATTCCCACCAGCAGTGTATAAGCATTCCCTTTTCTCCACAACCTCTCCC